CCCTAAACCCTAAACCCTAAACCCTAAACCCTAAACCCTAAACCCTACCCTCAGCCCTAAACCCTAAACCCTAAACCCTAACAACCCCCCCCCCCCTCCCAACAAAAGAATCCACCCCAGGTCCTACTTGCATCTTCAGAATCCTGACAACCCTTCGAAGCCCTGAACCCTAAGCCCCAAACCGCTAGAACCGTAAACCCCCAAACCCCTAAACCCCTAAACCCCTAAACCCCTAAACCCCTAAACCCCTAAACCCCTAAACCCCTAAACCCCTAAACCCCTAAACCCCTAAACCCCTAAACCCCTAAACCCCTAAACCCCTAAACCCCTAAACCCCTAAACCCCTAAACCCCTAGACCCCGAGACCCCGAGACCCCGAGAACCCCGCAACCCCTCAACCCTAAACACCCGCTGACAGTTGCAGGCAAGTGCTGATGCCAACAAGCCAGACAGCCCCTGGTCTTCAGCGAGCATCCAAATCTTCGGGGCTTTAGGGTTTAGGGTTTTACGAGGGTATAGGGTTCAGGGTTTAGGGTTTAGGGTTTTACGGTTTCAGCAAGCCTCCAAAGTGGGGCATGGTGCGTTTAGTTTCGGCACCGCCCCCACCGTATCCCCCTCCCCCCCCCCCACCCCCCTCACCTCCCCTCGCCCCTCGCCCGCCCTGCTTACAGGAAAAAACCCAAAAGCAACCATTTTGTCTTTCCGAAAGCGGGTGGAAGCAGGCGTTCCCTTTCGGCCCCTCCCTGCCCCCGCCCCGACTCCCCCGCCCCCCGAGTCCAGCGTCTTGACGTGTCGGCGGATATTCAGCCACAAAAGTACTAGCATTATTTGTAAGTACAAGATGCGTTTCATGTATGTATTTCATCCATACATCGCTCGGAGAAATGTGTGTTAGATGAAAACTTCTCAAAAACTGCAGAACTGGTAGCAAAAACTTCACATGAATCATTTGAAGAACAACCTGAAGTGTTCATTTGTTCATCTTAACAAGTTTTTGTGCTACTACCAACTGTAATCTCTTTAAGGTCTGCTGAAATAATATGATCAGAAATGATCTTGTTCATTGCATTATGGAATATTTTCAGTTTGATTGTACTGAAGCGTTTGCATAATTTACAGTAAAGTTGTTTGTAGTATTCGCAGTCTTACTAACTTACTTAGCCAATAGTTGAACTTTGAATTTTTTCGGTTTCCTTATTTTGTAGGAACAAGAAAGTTTAACCTTTTTTCCCCTTGGTTATTGGAGAAGTAAGTTAAAGTTCGTATCGCAACTCCCTTCGGTCACCTGTTGTTTTTGCCGATGTGGGCCAAGCCTGAGCCTGAGCGCCCAGTTTCGAAAGCGTGAACCCTAAACCCTAAACCCTAAACCCTAAACCCTAAACCCTAATCCTAAGACCCTGAACCCCGTGACCCCAGGGCAGCCCTCAAGCCCTAAGACCCCTACGCCCTCTGCTCTAAAGCCCTAAACCCTGAGAAGCCCTACGTCCCTAACGCCCTAAGTCCCTAACCCTAAAACTCTCAAGCCCAGATGCCCTCTAACACCCCCAAAGCCCTAAACCCTAAAGCCCAGTGCCCTAGACCCCAAACCCTCACGCCCTAAGCCCTAAAGCTTAGCCCTTAACCTTAAACCCCAAAGCTAAACCCTAAACCCCAACCCTAAACTCTAAACCCTAAACCCTAATGCCCTACGACACAGAGGCCACGGGCGCACCCCGCTTCATGCCTCTGGGAACAAGGGCTACGTTGACACCTCCAGGCTCCTGGGTTTAGGGTTTAGGGTTTAGGGTTTAGGGTTTAGGGTTTAGGGTTTAGGGTTTTGACAACCGCCCATGTACAAGGGACCTACTTGCCCGCGTACTTTGACGCAGGTTCTTGGCCGAGAATGGAGCCGACCCAACGAGATCAGACCGTTCCTCGGCACAAGGTTTTGGGGTCAGGGGTGTAGGTATAGGGTTTAGGGTCTAGGGTTTAGGGTTTAGGTTTAGGGTTTAGGGTTTAGGGCTTACGGTTTAAGGTAAACCCTTAAAAAGGCAACATGCCCTTGAAAGCAAGAAGGGGCCCTTTGTTATTCCTAGGTTACTCTTGGGTCTAGTAGCAGGGCATCATGACATGTTCAGTCATTCATCTCCCTAAGCCCTAAACCCTAAACCCTAAACCCCTAACCCTAAACCCTAAACCCTAAACTCTACACCCTGCGCGCGAAGGTTATGGCGACACTCCTGTTACCTATGCAACTGGGCCTTGACAGGTGGACGGTGAGAAGTTTCAACTTTCTCCCTAAACCCTAAACCCCCTAAACCCCATAAACCCCCTAAACCCCCTAAACCCCCTAAACCCCCTAAACCCCCTAAACCCCCTAAACCCCCTAAACCCCCTAAACCCCCCAAACCCCCTAAACCCCCTAAACCCCCTAAACCCCCTAAACCCCCTAAACCCCCTAAACCCCCTAAACCCCCTAAACCCCCTAAACCCCCTAAACCCCCTAAACCCCCTAAACCCCCTAAACCCCCTAAACCCCTAAACCCCGTAAACCCTAACCCTAAACCCTAAAGCGCTACGATTTTTCTTTCGTATTAAGGTCCGGTTCCCTGATAAGCCCCATGAATTGGGATGTTCCCCCTCATACTCCTTAATAGGGATTCGAGTAGGGCGGTACTATAAGGCCTATTCAGGACTGTTGGTATAAGGGGAGGAACATCCCCACCCATGAAGCTCAAAAGTGTGCAAACCTTAAAGCCTAAACTCAGCTTTGTTTCGGGGGCGTTTTTAGGGTGTAGGGTTTGGGGAGAATTATGAAGCAAGCCCTGTGTGATCTAGCCACGAACCTTCAAGTGCCCTTAGACCAAAAGCGCAAACCCTAAACAGGTTTTGACCCTACCCGTGAACTGTGCTGACCCTAAACCCTAAACCCTAAACCCTAAATCCTAAACCCTAAACCCTAAACCCTAAATCCTAAACCCTAAACCCTAAACCTTAGCCCTATCCATGAACGGTTCAGGAGCTACGTGCTTCAGGGTGTAACCTTGGGGGTCGCTAAAGACGTGAGACGCAGATATCCGAAACCAGCAGACCTACCTAGTACTTAGAGAGTATTTAGGGTTTAGGGTTTAGGGTTTAGGGTTTAGGGTTTAGGGTTTAGGGTTTAGGGTCGCGCAAAATGTTGATATTCTCTTTCAAGCTTTATGGGGTATCGTACATTACTTGCCCTTGAATTTTTGAACAGACGAGTGTTGCGAGAAAAGTTGACTCCCGAACAGAGCCTCGGTGTCATGCGATTTGACGAAAGGATCTTGGAGATGTCACAGGAGGTTTAGGGTTTAGGGTTTAGGGTTTAGGGTTTAGGGTTTAGGGTTTAGGGTTTAGGGTTTAGGGTGTAGGGTTTAGGGCGAAAGGTGACGGGTGAAGGGTGAGTCGCTTTAAACAGCCATGAGGAAAAACCCAGCTTTAGGGTTTAGGGTTTAGGGCTTAGGGTTTAGGGTGAGCACGACCCCTAGACCCCAACGCCCAAGCCTAAGCATTAACACAAACAACAGCCCTATCCCCAAATCCTAAACCCAAAACAGACCCTGAATCCTAAACCCCAAACCCTAAATCCTAAACCCCAAATCCTAAACCTCAAATCCTAAATCCCAATTCATAGCCCTAAACCCTACATCCTAAATCCTAAACCATAAATCCTAAACCCAAAGCCCTAAATCCTAAACCCTAAGCCCAAATTCTGCAGCCCTCAAACAAATCCTAAGCCCTCAACCCTCAACCCCAAACCCTGACCTCCTTAGGGTTTTAGGCTTTAGGCTTCAGAGTTTAGGGTTTAGGGATCATAAGAACCCCTGCCCCTAGAGGGATTCAGCGCTTGAGCTCAGCATCTGATTCGAGGCAGCTATCTCTGGGCACGCGGAGGTCGTCCGCGCGCTGCAGGATGCGAGGAAAGGCTCCTGAGAGCTTGGGCTGTGGGGGGTTTTGGGTTTTGAGGGTTTAGGGTTTAGGGTTTAGGGTTTAGGGTTTGGGGTTTAGGGTTTAGGGCTTGAGGTTCATGGCTATCACTACAGGTAATGTTCCTCACGCCTGGGGTTTAGGACTACAGGCCCTACACCCCAAATTCTAGGAAATGCTGCCCACAGGAATCCCAAAGCATCGGATCTTTTTCCCGTTTTTCCAAGTGGGGGTTTGGGGCCAAGTTCCCTTCTGCCCAAGAAGTTCGCACTGGGCTTCGTCAGCCCTAAACCCTAAACCCTAAACCCTAAACCCTAAACCCTAAACCCTAAAGCCTAAGACCCTAGACCCTAAACCCTAAACCCTAAACCCTAAACCCTAAACCCTAAACCCTAAACCCTAAACCCTAAACCCTAAACCCTAAACCCTAAACCCTAAACCCTAAACCCTAAAAGCCCTAAACCCTCGCATCTTGGCAGCGGAGAAGTTCGCTCTTTCACCGATCTGGGGGGGCGACACTTGTTTTAACGCGGTCGTGGCTGCAAAGTTTGGCCGTTTCACTGGCGCGAACGGCGCGAAAAGGTGCAGGGAGCCTTCCCGGTAAACCTTAAAATCCTGACCCCTCAACACTGAACTCTGAAACTTAAACACCCCACACCTTAGCAATCTAGCAGTGAAGCTGTGAGCCTAAAACTGCTCTGGACCCTGAAGCCCTAAAGCCCCGACCCCTAAGGATTTTCAGGGTTTAGGGTTCGGGGAGAAAAGAACTTCGCCCAAACTGGGTTTGAGACTCCATTGTGCCTTATTCCTACGGGGCCCACACCTAGAGCATCGTAGGGCTTAGGGTTTACGTTTTTTCAGGGTTAGGGTTAAGAATTTCGGGGTTTAGGGGTTCCTAAATCTGTGCAGGGCTCAGGGTTCCCTTAAAACCCTAAACCCTAAACCCTAAACCCTAAACCCTAAACCCTAAACCCTAAACCCTAAATCCTAAACCCTAAACCCTAAACCCTAAACCCTAAACCCTAAACCCTAAACCCTGATTGCCGACTCGGCTCCTTGCATCTCAGGTGACCTGGAGAAGACTCAGCGGATGCAGGAGTACTGGTGGCTGCGATACTTGCCTTGGTTGTGTATCCCTTATCAACCCAAGCCAAGGGTTTAGGGTTTAGGGTTTGGGGTTTGGGGTTTGGGGTTTGGGGTTTGGGGTTTGGGGTTTGGGGTTTGGGGTTTGGGGTTTGGGGTTTGGGGTTTGGGGTTTGGGGTTTAGGGTTCTTTGTTTAGGCAAGAGTGCACTAGCACGCCGACGAGTACCTTCATTTCGTGCTAGTGTCTCTGGTGAAAAGTCGTTTTATCCATTGAGGGTCACCACTAATTAAACTCCAGACCCTCAACCATCCTAAATCCCCAAATCCTAAACCCTAAGCTCCTAAACCTTCTTGCCGAGACTTTTGCCTGAACCTTATGTTTCCTGAACCTTATGTTTCCTGAACCTTCACTATGATTCCTGTCCTCTACCATTACTCAGCATGATTGCTAAACCCTAAACCCCTAAACCCTAAACTCTAAACCCTAAACCCTAAACCCTAAACCCTAAACCCTAAACCCTAAACCCTCAACCCTAAACCACAGCTCAGGACAACAGGACGCAATAGAAGTTGAGCAGGCGGAGATCGAGGCAAGCCCAGCGCCCTGCAGCCCCCGCACGGGTTTTAGGACTTGGCGCCTACAAGATAGGGCCTAAGCCCTAAACCCGAAGCCCGAAGCCCGAAACCCGAAACCCTAAACCCTAAACCCTAAACCCTAAACCCTCTGTAAGGTTCGTTTCATAAGGGTTGCAGTGTTGTGTGTGGGGTGTATTCAGGGGCAAAATCGCCACTGCAAGGCGTGTGGTTTGTTCAGGGAGAATCGCAGTCGAGCCCTACAACCTCCCCAGATCACTCGGGTTAAACCCTAAACCCTAAACCCTAAACCCTAAACCCTAAACCCTAAACCCTAAACCCTAAACCCTAAACCCTAAACCCTAAACCCTAAACCCTAAACCCCAAACCCTAAACCCTAAACCCTAAACCCTAAACCCTAAACCCTAAACACTATGGAGGGACGAGTTCCGTTAAAACGGGCCATGCTCTTTGGGGTGGCGGCTGTACAGGTTTAGACAGGCAGTGGGTTGAATCCGGGCCCATAAGCCTTGCATCATGTTGAGTTCCAGGGTTTAGGGTTTAGGGTTTTGGGTTTAGGGTGTAGGGTTTAGGGTTTAGGGTTTAGGGTGTAGGGTTTAGGGTGTAGGGTTGATTGTTTAAGGGTTCCTAAAATCTGAATCCTAAACCTCAGTGCCAGGCACTCCGGGAGGAGATCAGCGGCCTTGCCGCCGATCGCCGCAGCGCCATGGCTCGCGAGGTGCGACTCCCTGCGAACCTGGTTCTTAGTCGGGAATGAGGGAGTTAGGGTTTAGGGTTTAGGGTTTAGGGTTTAGGGTTTAGGGTTTAGGGTTTAGGGTTTAGGGTTTAGGGTTTAGGGTTTAGGGTTTAGGGCTTAGGGCTTAGGGCTTAGGGCTTAGGGCTTAGGGCTTAGGATTGAAGGATTTCCGGGTTTAAGGGCTTCAGGGTTTGAGGGTTCGAGGGTTTTGAAGGTTGCAGGGTGTCAGGGTTCAAGGCTTCAGGGTTTAAGGGTTTCGGGGTTTAAGGGTTTCAGGGGGGTTGAGGGTTCAAGGGTTTCAGGGTTTCAGGGTCAAGGGTTTCAGGGTTTCAGGGTATGAGGGTTTAAGGGTTTCAGGGTTTGAGGGTTCAAGGGTTTACGGGTTGCAGGGTTTCAGGGTTTCAGGGTTCAAGGGTTGAAGAGTTTCAGGGTTTGAGGGTTTAAAGCTATAATCAGGGTTTGAGGGTTCAAGGGTTGAGGGGTTCAGAGTTCAGGGTTCGGGTGTCGGGCAGCAAACCCCCAGCCATGTACCAAACCTGAAAGCCCGACCCCACCCAAAAAGAAAAAAAAACCTTGAAGGGACCCCCTTAATCTGAACCCCCAGATAGTAGGATTCCATTATAAGAAGGGACCCCCCACCCCCCCCCTCACCCCCCCCCTCACCTCACCCCCCTGTCACCCCCCCCTCACCCCCCCCGTCCACCCCCCCCTCACCCCCCCGTCACCCCCCCCCTCACCCCCCCTCCCTCACACCCCCCCCTCCCCCCCCTCACCCCAAAAAAAAAGGGGCATTTCGTGAGATCTTCGGAGATCCTCATATGGCTCGGAGAAGGGGTTCCGGGCCGGCTTGGGAGTTTGGGGGTTTCGTGCTTCGCCCCTTGGAATCCTGAAGTGGCAAACTTGCTCAACTCTCTCAGGCCGCCGACCCAAGAGGCCCGAAACCTCTCAACCCTCAAAGCCGGAAATGGTTGTTACTAAAGCCTAAACGCTAAACTTTACACCTAAACCAGGGTCTGTTGGAGTTGGCGTAAGGTTGCAACATAGGCAACCCCCTCTGTTTAAGGTTCTTGGGGGTGTAAAGAGGGGGGGGGAAGTGAAGAGGTTGGGGGTGGGGGGGGGGTGGGGGGTGGGGGTGTGGGGGGGTGGGGTGTGGGGGGGGGGGGGGGGGGGGGGCGGGGCACCCCGCCCCACCCCCCGCGTTTTGGGGAGCAAGGGAGGGGAGGGGGAGGGTTCCCTCCCCCAAAACCATCCAACACGCCGTCAGGGTCGACCCTGAACACTAAACCTTCAAACCCTAAACCCTAAACCCTAAGCCCTAAACCCTGAGTCGAGTGACAGACCCCGAACGCTCGGCCGAGGGCCTCACAGCCCCAGCGCCCAAGTGTCTGGAGGTGGTTTGCCGGGACCCCCCCCTTCCTCGGGACCCCCTCCCCTGGTAGCTGGATTCCTGGACCTGGTTGCTCAATTTCGTGATTTTGGGAACGGTTTTTTAGGGCCGCCCCCAACCCAAGGGCTTCCCGACCCCAAGAACCCTCTTTGATGTAAGCCCGGCCAAGGGTCCGGGCCAAGGGCCTGCCGGGCCAAGGGCCCCCAAAGGCTGTTGGTGAAGGGCCAAGAACCCCTGCAAGAGTGGTTGCCCCGGGGTCAGGGCCTGGAAGGGCCCGGGTTCAGGGCTAGAGGAAGGCCCTCCGCGCCAAAGGGCGCCCGGGCGAAGAGGGCCGTGCCATCAATAAAAAATTTTGTTTATACTGGAATCGATGGTTTTGCGCACCCCTCCATTTTACACCAGAAGCGCCAGGAAAGCCCAGGAAGCCCCCAAGAGGCGCCAAGAGCCACCAAAAGCTTCAAGAGGCCCCCTAAAAGAAGGGGGACCACAAGATTTGTTTTGTCCGTGCCCACAATGAAATAATGCGATTTTTGAATATTGAAAACGATGGTTTTAGGCACCCCTGCCCGCAATGAAAAATGTTGTTTTTCAGTACTGAAATCGATGGTTTTGGGCACCCCTCCATTTCACCCCAAAAGACCAGGAAAGCCCCAGGAAGCCCCCAAATCAGCAAGGGCCTTTACGGGCCCTGAAGTGCCGAAGGCCCGAAAAGGGCCGAGGCTACCCCGAACCCCAGCTTAAACCCTAACACCGCAAAATCCTGCGAAGGCCTTCAAGCAAATAAGGGCCTCTACGGGCCCTTGCGTGCCGAAGGCCCGAAAAGGGCCGAGGCTACCCCGAACCCCAGCCTAAACCCTAGCGATTGAAATACTCATTGGCGAAAAAAACTCATAGGTTCCCTGACCCTCAAATGAATAACGGCCCCTGACACGCCGAAGGTCCGAACAAGGCCCCGAGAGACCCCAAGAGCCACCAAAAGGCTTCAAAAGGTTTCAAAAGGCCCCCTAAAAGAAGGGGGACCCCAGGATGCCCGTACCCGCAATGAAAAATGCGATTTTTTGGTTTTGACATCGATGGTTTTTTCCTTCATTTTACCCCGGAAGGGCCAGGAAAGCCCCCAGGAAGCCCCCAAAAGGCCCCAAGAGCCACCAAAAGGCTTGAGGCCCTTAAAGAAGGGGAATCCAGGAGCAAGCACAAAGGGTTTCCCTGACCTTCAAATTAATAAGGGCCTCTACGGGCCCTGACACGCCGAAGGCCCGAAAAGGGCCGAGGCTACCCCCAACCCCAGCTTAAACCCTAACAGCGCAAATTTCAAAACATCAAAGCAAGAGCACAAGAAAATAAATTCCATAAACCCCAAACCCCAATAGAGTATAGTTTGGGTGGCCGGGGTGGGTTGACGGGCAACGCGAGCGCGCGGCCCGGGGTGTTTCACACCCGAGCCCGCGCCCTCCCCTGACACACCCAAAACCCTAAACCATAAACCCTAAACCCTAAACCCTAAACCCTGAACCTTGAACCCTGAACCCTGAAGCCCAAGCCTACACCCCAAATTGTTCAAGTCCCTAGATCTTTAAAGTCTTAAAGCCCAAATCCCCAAACCCTTGAAGTCTTAAATTCCCTCCACTGTCAAGTCCCCTTCAAAACCCTGAATCAATCCCTGAACCCTAGATCCCTTGACCCTAACACCATACTAACCCATCCTGAACCATCCTAGACCCTCCTAAACCCTAAACCCTGAACCCTACACCCGAAATCCCAAATCCTAAACCCTAAACCCTAAATCCCAAACCCTAAACCCTAAACCTTGAACCCTGAACCCTAAACCCTAAACCCTAAACCCTAACCCTAAACCCCAAACCATCCTAAACCCTAAACCCTAAACCCTAAACCCTAAACCCTAAACCCTAATCCTAAACCCTAAATCCCTCAAGCACTCAAGCCCTCTGCCCCCTATAAAACCCTGAAGCAATGAAACCCTAAACCCTAAACCCTAAACCCTAAACCCTAAACCCTAAACCCTAAACCCTAAACCCTAAACCCTAAACCCTAAACCCTAAACCCTAAACCCTAAACCCTAAACCCTAAAACTAAACCCTAAACCCTAAACCCTAAACCCTAAACCCTAAACCCTAAACCCTAAACCCTAAACCCTAAACCCTAAACCCTAAACCCTAAACCCCAAACCATCCTAAACCCTAAACCCTAAACCCTAAGCCCCATCGACAGGCGGAGCTCTTGAGCATCCTTGAAGCCAAGGACGGACGCCGATGTGTTGACCGTGTTTAGCGCTTAGGGCTTAGGGCTTAGGGCTTAGGGCTTAGGGTTTAGGGTTTAGGGTTTAGGGTTTAGGGTATCAACAGCTGCCTCTTCAAGCGGCGGCCTTTAGGGGATTCGGTACCTCACATCCTTAAGTCACCCTGGTTCTCAGTAGGGAATGAGGGAAGCAGGCCCCTATATATGGTTCAGCGTCGAGCGTCCTGGCCCCCCCCCCCCCCCCCCCCATGGTATCCCCCCCCCCCCCCCATGGTATACTCTACGGTCCCTAAACCCTCAACCCTAAACCTAAACCCTAAACCCCTAAACCCTAAACCCTAAACCCTAAACCCTAAACCCTAAACCCTTAAGTAAGTCTTAAACCTTAAACCCTAAACCCTAAAACCCTGAACCCTAAACCTAAACCCTAACCCTAAAACCAACCCCCAACCACACCACAGGGGGGGGGGGATCATCTTAGTACCCCATCCGCGGGGAAAACCCTAAACCCTAAACCCTAAACCCTAAACCCTAAAACCCTAAACCCCCTAAACCCTAAACCCTAAAACCCTAAAACCCTAAAACCCTAAACCCTAAACCCTAAACCCCCTAAACCCTAAAACCCTAAAACCAACCCCCAACCACACCACAGGGGGGGGGGGGGGGGTACCATTGGGGGGGGGGGGGGGGGGGGGGGGGGGGGGGTAGGGGGGAGGGGGGGGGGGCCCGCCGGGGCTGAATCATATATTCCCTTTAACATTCCCTACTAAGAACCAGCCAGAAATCCCCCTACATCACGTTCACAGGCCTTCATCAGCCTCTTCGTCCCAAACCCTAAACCCTAAACCTTAAACCCTAGAGCCTAGACCCTAAACCCTAAAAGGGGTTACATAGCGTGCCTACTTCCCGACTATTTCTCTAAAGGTAGTCCCCTACTTTCTTGAGAGGGTTCTGAAGTGGGGGCTCTTGGGTTGTATAGGGTTTAGGGTTTAGGGTTTAGGGTTTAGGGTTTAGGGTTTAGGGTTTAGGGTGTATTCGGGGTGTATAAAGCTCCCATTGTAAGGACCCAGGGGACCATGAAACTACCCTTGGAAATTGTCCCCTGCTAAGAATTAGTCAGGTGCAGGGGCCTTGGCGGGTTCTGGGATTTAGGCTTGTGCAGTTCTCGAGAATAGCCCTAAACCCTAAACCCTAAAACCCTAACCCTAAACCCTACACCCTAAACATGCCCTAAGCCCTAAGCCCGAAGCCCTAAGCCCTAAACCCGAAACCCTAAACCCTAGACCCTAGACCCTAGACCCCTAAACCGAGGTTGATTGACGTGGTTTTGAGAGGACTCACGGTGGGAGCTTGAGGTTCGGGGTTTAGGGTTTAGGGTTTAGGGTTTAGTGTTTAGGGTTTAGGGTTGTTAAGGGGTTTAACGTTGCAAACGGGCTACCACCCTCAGCAGACACAAAGGCGCTTGAGCTCTTATGAATTGCAAGCCCGGAGAAAGGTGGCTCATGACCGAAAGATGTCGAGAGAAATGCGCATGTGGAGTGCCACATTGAGAACATTCGCGTCCAAATTCCCGCCTCTCTGCCTCCTTGTCTATCGCTGCATCTGCAGTGTTCAGGAGGCTTTCGATCTGGCGATGTATGACAGGGGATTGCAATCTCGAACCATCTTCTGGCGCCTATGAATCGGTGCATATCAACGTACCGCAGCCGTGGCACTACGCAAGTAGATTCTTCTGAGCCGGGTCGACGGCGAATGGGGGGAATGGGGCGGTTTTTGGTGTAGCTCACTTTAGGCCTGTGTTCAGATGTTTTTCGAGCAATAGGGTTTAGACAGGCTTCAGCCTCGCGCAAGCTTTGGGTTGAAGTCGGTTGAAGGTTCAGACATGTATTCCTCACATGGCTTCACCGTTAGAGCTGTCTTTTTTGTCCGCAGGAGTTCTGCTGGCTCGAAACTCGCAGTTTCAAAGACTTTACCATCATGCAGACCGCTTGGCCATTTCTTGGCCTGTTCTTTTCCATCACTGCTGCTGCTGCCGACTGTGCTGCAGCCCCCTCCTTGCTTGCTGTCAAGGCCGAGACTCATCTGACGCAGGTGTCGATCACCGAGGATTTGCCATTGAACCTCACTGGCTCTCATGGAAACAGCACCAATGGCACCAATGGAACCAACAACAGCCTTGAAGAGATCCTGGTTGGCAACTTGGCGCATGTCATGAAGGAAGTGAACAGCTTGGGCGACATGGAGAACACCAGCAACCAGAGCGACTGGGCTTCTGTTAAGGAAGTTAGTTTAAGTTACCGTAACATGAAGACCTCATGGCTTACCATGGAACCCTGCATTGGTAACTTAAACTAAGTTGCCGAACCAACCCTGATATCCTTAACGGAACCCAAATTATATGTAGTGTAGAAACTTAATGCAAGTTCCTTTTCCTTTACAGAACCCTTTTGGAACCCTTAAAGGAACCCTTTCAAGGAATCCGAAATTGTGGGCACTTAATGTAAGTTCGCTAGACCCTTAAAGGAACCCCCTTACAGCCTTACAGGAAGCCCAAAGCTATGGCTCCTTTCAACAACAGCCCAGGCGACGGCCAGCGGCGCCACGGTTTCGGCGACTTGGGCACGAACCTGGAGTTTCTGATGCTGAAGGTCGCCCAAATGGAGACGGCGGCTCGGCTTGCCAGTAGCGAGCCCTAAACCCTAAACCCTAAACCCTCCCTAAACCCTAAACCCTAAACCCTGAACCGTGAACCCTGAACCCTGAACCCTAAACCCAAAACCCTGAACCCTGAACCCTGAACCCTGAACCCCGAAGATCGCGAAGCATGTAAGTCTAAGTCTTCCTGAAGTCTGAAGAATTCGAGTAGGGTTTTTGAGTTATGTGGTTTCGAGTGGGCTATAGGGGTCTTCTAGTCATCTCGTCTTTTTCTTGCCACGTATCTGAGGTGGTTGAGCTGCAGCAAGCTCAGCTGCAGAAGCAGCAGGCGGAGATCGCAGCGTTTTTAAGTTTACAAGCAGCAGTGGGCCTTGATATGTTGTATAAAGTCTAAACCACTGTGAAGTTTCGTAAGCCCTAAACCCGAAACTCTAAGCCCTACACCCTAAACCCTGAAGCCTTAAAGGCCCTGAACCCTAAACCTACAGTGGTCGCAGCAGGCCGAGATCGACGAACTGAGGGCCGAGGTCCGCGGCACGTCGACGTCGAACCTTTGTCATAGTTGGGTCAGACTTTAAAATCTTATGGGTACGTAAACCCAAGAGGGTGTAGGGTTTAGGGTCATGTTTATGGGTGCTTAAACCCAATAAGGAATAAACATGAAGATTCTTAATACTATCCCAACCATGAACGAGGAACTCCACGACCAGCCTCCGTGAGCGCAAGGCGAAGGAGAAAGCTCAAGTGCTCGAGGCAGGGTGTAGGGGTTTAGGGTTTATCCTGGACCTAGGAATGTAGGGTTTAGGAGTTAGGATTTAGGGTTTAGGGCTTAGAACTAAAGCTTGGCTTACTGTTGTTCTTAAGGGCTAGATTTGCCCATGTTCTGCGAGGCAAGCCGGGTCTTCAAGAAGGTGGTCCAGAAGCATCATCACCAGAGGCAGACCCGCGAATACCTCACTCCGCACTCCAAGGCCCACAAGGCGCCGGCGGAGCTAGGGGATAGGATTAGGGGGACCCTTGGGGATATAGACCCTCTGAATAAGGCCCCTTGTCTAAAAGAGCCAGAAGAGGGTTAAGAAGGGGTTCCATTTTAAGGGTCCCCCCTTATCCTACCTAGAAGTTCTAGGGTTCTTAAGGGAGGTTGCTTCGGTACCTAGGGTTCAGAAGGGGGTTCCCGTTTAAGGGTCCCCCCCTTCTCCTACCTAGGAATCAGTCCTTAATCGGGATAGTACCACCTACTATAATCCCCATGAAGGACTGTTAGTATTAGGGGGAACATCCTACCTAGGCGGAGCCAGAGAACGGCGGGGCGGCGCTCTTGGAGCGGAGTGCTCGATCGAAAACCAAGGGGTCCAAGTCGGAGTCTGAGGCTTTGGATGCTGGGAGGCCCCAGTAGTACCCTTATTCCCTTTTTTTTGGGGTTTAGGGTTTAGGGTTTAGGGTTTAGGGTTTAGGGTTTAGGGTTTAGGGTTTAGGTTAACCCCTTATAAACCCCTTTAATTAAGCAAAAAAGGGGGGGCACCCCCATGTTTAAGTCCTAGGTTACTCAAACAGCCTAGGATGCCGTCGTCAGCTCAAAGTTCATCGAGGACGTGGGGAGCGGGATCGCGGATGTGGCCGGCGACGTGGCCGGTGCCGTCACGGATGGTACGGGCTTGGTGGGTGACGCCTTGGGCGATGCCTATGAGGCAGCTGCACACCAGGAACCCTAAACCCGTGTTGTTTTAGGGTTCAGGGTTCAACAAGACCCCTAACCCCTGAACCCCTGAACCCCTAAACCCTAAACCCTAAACCCTAAACCCTAAACCCCAAACCCTAAACCCTAAACGCTTCTGAGGCAGCCGCGGACCAAGTGTCCTTCGTGGCCAACACGGTCATTGATACTGTCGAGATGGCCGTGACCATCCTGTTGCTGGCTTGTTGTTTAGAGGATTGAATTCATGATCTAGGATGCCCAGTAGTACGCTGATTCCCTTTTTGGGGGGTTTAGGCTCCCTTATAAACCCCTTTAAGCAAAAAAGGGCACCCTTTTTAAGCCTAGGTTACTGGGCAGCCTAGTGATAAAAACTATAGTAAGGACCTATAGCAAAACTATAAGGTTTCCTTCTTATGGTAACTTGAAGTAATGTCCTAAAACCCTAAACCCGAGAGTCCTTATAGAACCTTTCAAGGAATCCTAAAGTATGGTAGCTTAGACTATAAGCTCCTTTCAAGAAAGAGCCCCTAACCCTAAACCCGATACCCTAAACCCTAGCCCCTAACCCCTAACCCCTAAACCCTAAACCCTAAACTCTAAACCCCAAAATCCTTCACAAAAGAGCCAAAAACACCCAACACCCAAAACCCTTCCTTCAAAGCAGAGCCCAGGCTCCGAGGCTTCACCGACTTCGGCGCCGGCTGCCCGGATTCCTCCTGGCCTTCCATGGGCGTAGACTCCACAGGCTTCCGGATCAACTGGGGCCGGCAGAAGTGCTACATCAGGCGCGCCTTAAAGGGGCCTGAAGAGTTGCTTTAGGCTTCCTTTAAAGGGGTCTATAAGGGCTAGCTACTATAATGGCTATTCTAAGGATTTAGTATCTGGGCCTTAAGAATACCTATACTATTTTGGGGGTTCCTTATTGTAATCATAGTAGAATGGGCGCCAAAACCCTATTGTAAATATCAAGGCCCCTAAATTACATCAGGCGCAGGGGCCGAAGCATCGAACAACCCCTAAACCCTATCAGCCCTTAAACCTCGAATCCCCCAAAACCCCTAGACCCCAAACCCTTAAAACTTAAACCCTAAAGCCAGAAAACATTCAGGCTCATGGGCCAGAGCATCACGCTCTTCGACTTCAACTTCGGGAACACCAACGTGAACTGGCCGGAGCCCGTGAGAACCGTCGTCCAGTACGGCCTGGCCCCGATCCGTGCCATCGTTGACATCGGCCGCGACTTGATCATAGTTGGGTAGCATTGTACATTTTTAAGGGACCCAATAAGGAATATAGAATTAAAATTTTTCATACGATCTCAACCATGAACTAGGCGAGGTGGCCGGCTGCGTCACCGCTGGGGGCGTCAGCGACGTTTTCGGCTGCTTCGGGAACAAGCTGCTACAGGTGGTGCCACCTCTTAGCTTCCTGACAAGGATGGGCGATACTAGGTGGCACTCTAGGAAACTTCAAGGTTTCCCTTCTGGGTCCTATAGAGGTGTGTTCATGGATGCTTTTAAGGGCCACAAAACTGCAACCCAGGATATGCTCACCGAGTTTGTTGAGGTCTTTGCGCGCTTGGCTGGCTCCGTCATCAGTTCCGTCCTCTCGGACAGCCAGTCCCTGGTCCAATCAGCCGTCAAGACCTCGTTCCCAGAAGTGGGGGCGCCAGCCCGTGTCCATCACAGCGGCAAGAACTTGGTGGTGAAGACTCATGCCCAGCGGTGGAAGGGGAGCAAGAGAAGCCAACTTCACCGCCGTGAGGCGGAGGCCCAGCTGCAACTGAACACCTCTCGCTCTTCTGGTGATGATGATGACGACAGCGATGGCGCCATCAACTTCGAGATCAGTGACAATGGGGACAACTACGCCACAAAACTCATCACTCAGTTCGGTGGCAAGGAGGTGGACACAAGCTCCTGCTTGGCCTTTGCACCCAAAACTCGCCGGGGAAGCAACAACAAGGTGATACAGCGAGACTGGCAGGTAGAGCAAGCGGATCAGTTCATCCAGTTGGAGCCATGGGCAGTCCCTTGCGACAACTCTTGGATGACGGACAACCCCCAGAAGTGGGAAGGCTTCTCCTTCTACACCTGGGAGTCTGCCATCGAGAAGTGTGTCACTCTTGGCTATTCCATGAGCACGCAGCCCGTCCTCGCCTTCGTGGGCGGTTTCTGGGTTCTTGTTAAGGGATGTAACTTAAGTTACCATAATAGGGATCTATCGCAAATAACATGGGTTACTTATAATGGTAACCTAGATGAAATCTCTTAACAAGAACCCAGGTTTGGAGTTTGACCTTCTTCCGGCTCCGTTGGCAGAGCTGGAGACCACAGTCTGCTGGCCCGACAAGCAGCCAAGTGGAGTGGATCTTAGCGTCTTGCTTCCTCAGTAGTACCCTTACGCCCTTTATTCTAGGGCTCCCTCCGTGTTAACCCTAACCCTAAACCCTAAACCCTGGGCAGCCTAGGCGTCTTGCGCACCGTCATCAAGTCCTCCGGGGTGCAGCTCTTCAGCCGCACCATGCGCCTCACGAAGCGCTTCGGCACAAACACCGACTTCACGGACGCCAACACCTACTCGGCCCACGAAACCTGGAGAAATCCTCTGGGGAAGGCGACGGGCACCCACGGCTCTGAGGACGACCGCTCCCTGGAACCCATGGACCGCACGGTGCAACCTGCGCAGCTGACGCAGGAAGTTGCAGAAGAGTCTGCAGCTGAGGAGTCTGAGAAGTCTGAGACTAGGATGCCCAGTCGTACCCTTATTCCTTTTTTTTTTGGGGGGGGGGGTTTTGGTTCCCTTATAAACCCCTTTAAGCAAAAAAAGGGGCACCCTTTTTAAGCCTAGGTTACTGGGCAGCCTAGGAGAGAGACTTGAGGAACTTCGGGTGGTCCGAGGACGACCTGCAGGTGGCTTCGATGCTCTATGACAGCTACCTGAGCATGAACGTGTCGGAGCACCTCCGGGATGATAGGGCCAGGGAGCATCTGGAGCTCATGCAGAGGAATGGGGACTTCGAGCTCTTCAGCTTCAGAAATCCGGGGTTGGTCTCCTTCAACATCAAGGGCGTCCTGACAGCCGCTGATGACCTGCAGCTGCTAATGCAAGTCAGCTTCGGCCCTTTCACCTCGCCACTGAAGCGTGTCACCTTGGTGAACATCGTGGATCAGCTTCTAGGTAGGCCTTTTGAGAAATGTTGCCTTTCCCTTATTGGGCTTAAGAGGATCTCATCTACGGGACCTTATTTACGAATATCTTCAGAGGCTTGGGCAGGCCAACCTAGGTTTACTCTGGTGCTGACTGCGTTGCCCTTCGTGTCTGTGGACAGCCGGGTGAAGGCAATCCAGGCGCTTCGCAGCTCCACGAAGACAGCGGAGAGTCAGCAGGTTCTGCCCAGACTGCCAGAGGAGAAGCAGGGTTTAGGGTTCTTTGGGAGCATATTCTACCATAACCAACATTACATATAGCAAGGAACCCTAAGGAACAGTGATACTACTTGTTGAGAAGACTGCCGCAGGAGATGTTCGTGTTGAAGCACTGGAATGGGAAGTGTGTTCGCGCACAGTCTGGAAGCACAAACCCCGCAAATGGTGACCACCTCGTCTTCTCTGACTCGTGCAGCACGTCCAAGGCCCTGCTTTTCAAGAAGTTGTACTTTGAGAGTGGCAGCGCCTACTTCAACCTTCAACTCCAGAATGGCAGATGCATCCATCCCGATGGGGGGTTTGCTTACACCGATACCAAGCTGGTGGCGCACGATGGGTGTGGCAATGAGGACAGACTCATGTTCACCTTGGCAGCCGAGGGGGCCGACTTTGTTTTAAAGCATAAGACTGGCATGTGCGTGCATCCCAATGGAGGGACTGCTCCTGTAGATGGCCAGTACTTAGTCACTCATGGAGGCTGCTGGCCGGCTAGCAAACTCGGCTTCACGGAAATGATTCCTCCTACAGACTCCTCCCTAACAATGAGGTAATCGCCACCGGAGCGTGACAGTTGGCAGTGTGCCGGTGCAAAATGGTCTGATGTCAGACTTCCAGTGTGCAGAGTAATGCGAGCAGCTAGCAGTGCGGGATGTTTCGAGGCAGTGTGGTGCCCATGAGCCTAGGAGGCCACTGGCATGTGGACATGGATGGTAGCGGATGGTTGCTCCGTGTAGGAACGGCGCCAGATCACATCTTGAGTCCGCGCGCGCATGAAGTTCGGGAGGTTTGGAGCTTGAGGTGCGCTGCTGAAGGATGTTTCGGGCTTTGGGTTTCGGGTGTTCGGGGCTTTGGCATTGTGGCTGACCCTAAACCCTAAACCCTAAACCCTAAACCCTAAACCCTAAACCCTAAACCCTAAACCCTAAACCCTAAACCCTAAACCCTAAAAGGGGGAGGGGGGAAGGGCGGAAGGGGGGGAGCCCTGCGGAGATGCAGGAGGCGCAGTTGCACGCGGGTCCGCAGTGGCGCGAGCCAGAGGACTCTGCAAAGGTTAAGGGCTGCTTATGTGTTTCTCGAGGGGCCGCTGGATCTTTCGTCCCTAAACCCTAAACCCTAAACCCTAAACCCTAAACCCTAAACCCTAAACCCTAAACCCTAAACCCTAAACCCTAAACCCTAAACCCTAAACCCTAAACCCTAAATCCTAAACCATAGACCCTAAACCCTAAACCCTAAACCTAAACCTAAAAACCCTAAACCCTAAACCCTAAACCCTAAACCCTAAACCCTAAACCCTAAACCCTAAACCCTAAACCCTAAACCCTAAACCCTAAACCCTAAACCCTAAACCCTAAACCCTAAACCCTAAACCCTAAACCCTAAACCCTAAACCCTAAACCCTAACCCTAAACCCTAAGCCCCATACCTTAAACCCTAATGTACCCAACGAAGGGTTGGGGCAGCCTTTGCTCCGGCCCAGAACCGTGTGGACCAAATGAACCCTAAAGTGGTGGTCATATACCCTATATTAGGGTTTAGGGTTTCAGGGTTTAGGGTTTAGGGTTTAGGGTTCTAGGGTTCTAGGGTTCTAGGGTTCTAGGGTTTCTAGGGTTCTAGGGTTCTAGGGTTTATAGGGTTTATAGGGTTCTAGGGTTTATAGGGTTCTAGGGTTTATAGGGTTCTAGGGTTTATAGGGTTCTAGGGTTTATAGGGTTTTAGGGTTTATAGGGTTTAGGGTATATGAACCATAAAGGGCTTCTTCGGTCCACTAGGAAGGGTTTATTTCAGAGCTGCAGGCTTTCAAGCCTGCAAGGTAGAACGAGCACGGGAGGCTCCGCCCCAATCAACCTCAACTTGACTTGGAAGCCTCAAACCTTTCTGTTTTCTGGCTGGTTCTGAGTAGGGAATGAGGGAATGAGGTACCCTATAGAACCCCTTAAAAGGTGTATATAGGGCCCAAATTCCCGCATTCCCTACTAAGAACCAGGGTGATTTTCTTTCTTCCCGGGTGCGCCGAAGATTTTCCCTTGGCTGAAGGCTGCGGGGCGCTTGCGTCTCTTTTGGGGCAGAAGGCTAAACCCTGAACCCTGAACCCTGAACCCTGAACCCTAAACCCTAAGCCCTAAGCCCTAAGCCCTAAGCCCTAAGCCCTAAACCCTAAACCCTAAACCCTAAACCCTAAACCCTAAACCCTAAACCCTAAACCCTTCGCGGTTGGGCAAGGGTGTGGGCTTCGCCTGAAGGAGCGGCTCAGGTACATCGACGGAACGCAGCAGTATGAGGCTGGCGCTTTTCGGCCCTCTTCTGGGTTTAGGGTTTCAGGTTCGGGTTTAGGGTTATAGGGTTTAGGGTTAAGGGTGGTTCAGGGTTGTCTTTGGGGGGGTTCAGGGTGTAAGGGGTTCGGTTCGTGGATTTCGGGCCCTCAGCCCAACCCTAAACCCTAAACCCTAAACCCCATATGCCCACACTTTTTCCTGTCTCAGGTGCCATGGTAGGGTTAGAGGTTTAGGATTTCGAAGCCTCCAAGGGCAGCAAGCACTAAAGCGCTCTGCTGTACCAATGTTTTAGGCCCAAACGAGCAAAAACGCTGTACTGTCCCAAAAAAACCAATCTTTTGAAGCCAAAACAAGCAAACATGCTGTACTGTCCCAAAAAACAAAAAAAGCAAAGTTTAGAGACCTTGGACGCCAAATGGCCTGGAGGTCTACAAGCTTTGTTTGTTTTTGGTTTTTTTGGGCAGTACAGCATTCTTTGCATTGTTTGATGTAAACACATTGTTTTTTGGGACAGTACAGCACTTTGGAGGCCTGGGACTGCAAAAACGCTGTACTGTCCCAAAAAAACCAATCTGTTAAGCCGATTCACATTATTTTATTCAGGAGTTTCATTGGTCATATTTATTTTAGTAAGATTCCTTTTGATTTTAACAGGATTCCTATGAATTTATAACCGGCTCTTTTCAATTTGTTAAGTGTTCGTATTCATTCTAATGGGCTTCCCACTAACTGTTAGTTCCGAAAATTTTTGATAGGATTCCTATGAATTCAATAGAGGATTCCTAATTATTTTCATAGGATTCCAATAAAGTATCACAGTGTTCCTAGTTATAATAAGGCTCCTGCTAGTGTAATAAGATTCCTATCAATTTAGGGTTCTCTTTCATGTTAATGGGTTTCGTTTTCGTTTGAAAGGGGTTCCTATTGGTTTAGGCTCATGCTCACTTATTCCTACTAATCCTTGTTAACGGAATCTTTATTTTTTCATAGGAGTCCTATTAGTTCCTATTAATCTTAGTAAGAATCCTTCTCGTTTTAGTAAGATTCCTATGAATTACCACCGCGTTCTTTTTGATTTGTTAAGGGCTCCTATTCATTTTAATAGGCTTCCTGTTAGCTTTTATCCGATAAATTTTGACAGGATTCCTATGAATTCAATGAAAGATTCCTACTTATTTTCATAGGATTCCAATAAAGTTTCATAGGGTTCCTAGTTATAATAAGGCTCCTACTAGTGTAATAAAATTCCTATCAATTTTTAGGGTTCTTTTTCTTTCGTATTAGTTTTAATAGGGATCTCATTCGTTTGAAAGGGATTCCTATTGGTTTAGGCTCATATAAATTTTAGTAGGATTCCTATCATTTAAGGGTTCACATTCTTTTTCTATAGGAGTCCCATTGGTGCCGATTAATTTAGTAGGGGTCCTCTTCAGGTTATTTGGATTCCTATCAAGTATAAATTGGGTTCTCATGAATCGGGTTCCTGTTCATGTTAATAGGCTTCCTATTACCCTTTTATACAGCTCCGATGAATGTTAATCGGGTTCCTATTGGAGTTAACTAGAGGATTCCTATTTTTCTGTTTATAAGATTCCAATAAATTTTCATAGTTTGCCTATTTATTTTCATAAGGCTCCTTCCAATGTAATATGATTCCTCTGATAATGTGGTTTTGTTTGGTTTCAAGGTTTCAGTCAGCCTCAGAACTGATGCTGGGGGTCAGTTCTCGGGGTTACCCTGGGGCTATACATTTTAGGAATCCTTAATTAGAAACACAATGAAACTGGGGGGGCGGGACATGCAACCTTTCAGACACGGCTGAGGAAAAACAATCATTCGCACATCGTTCCAAATGAAAACAATTTTTTTGCGGGCAAAAAACAATGATTTTGTACCGGGTCGTTCATAGTATTCCTACATCAATCAGGACAACACAATGTATCTGAATCTCAAGTGTCATATTATTATCGCTTCCAAAAATACAAATTAGTGTTTTCCGGCGGTGAAATCATTATGTTCTTGCTGCACAAAAACACATGTTGTTGTGCAGTCACTCGACAAACACACATGAGTTGTTGGCTTGAATGCTTGTGCGTGCTGCTGACTGCATTCACTTATCGTCACTTGCATTGCAGTAGGTGTGTTTTGACGCGACCGAAATCTGCAGTATCAGATAGGGAGTGCTGATGTTGTGTCTGCACAGGTGAGTCTTGAAAGAACAATGCATTTGCTCATGTGCATGTACAGCTGCTGCGCTGAGTGACACGTGCAAAGTTCTTGCTCAGGCTGTGCAGGGGCACGGCTCAGAGCACTAACGTAACATCAACAACAGATTATCTATGATATCTGTAGGTCAGTTAGTTGACTTCGTGAATACGAAGCAAAGCAACCTTTGTGATCGCCAGTCATTGTTTCTGATAGCCAGTGTTGATCAGTGAGCAATTGTCATGAGTGTTTGCAGCTCGTGTGTGCATGTGCAAGGGTAGGGGCCATGGAGAAAGCTGTGGTCGGAAGACGCTTGCACATATTTGCGTCGTCCACTGCAGTCGATCTAGACAACCACGGCCGTGTGTATCCTCGCACACAACTCATGGACTTGCTCGTCGACATACTGCACTCCAACCGTGGCATGCAGAAGCGTGTGGCTATGGCAATTGTGCGTGATGCTTTGTCGTCTGTGACCTTGGAAGCATGTGGTTGTCACTTTTAGCTGGCTGTCGGTGCATGTACAGAGCTGATTGATTGAGCTTGCTTGTTGAGTTGTTCGTTAGTGCATGTACAGAGCTGATTGATTGAGATTGTGTTGAGCTGCTTGTTCTTGCATGTACAGAGCTGATTGAGTGAGAGTGTCATGATGTCATGTGCAAAACCCAGAGGGCCCAGAGCTCATCGATCGAGGTTCCACTCTACGAAGAGCAGTTCATGCGAGTCTTTATCGGTCATGTAGATGTGCAGTCGGTCCTCGCAACCTTGCAGCTGCCTTTTTTCTCGGATGACTATGCTCCCACAAAGTCACGTTCGTGCGTGGTTGTTGAAGACGATGATCTATGCGCGGCAGCTGACTGCAATGCTCTCGCGGTGGTGCCGGTCCGGCAACCGCTGGCTCCCTTGAATCAGAATGTGATGAACCGCTCGAATTCGAACATGTCGATTACGTCGATGCGAAGCAACAACACCAGCCTCGAAAACATGTCCGTCTCACACAGGTCAGAGCATTCTTCTCAGACACAGGTTGATGTCGACGAACTCGATGAGTGCATGCTGGTTGAAACATCAAGCCTGGCATCATCTCGCAAAGACAAACGATGGACGGCAGCTGCGCTTCGAAACTTAGTCCAAGCAGACTACGAAAACATGCAGCCTGCCCAGTGTGTGTTCGTGGCAACAAAGGCGTCATCGGCACTCAAGCAGCAAACTCAACGAACCCAGGTCGTGCAGAAGCAGCTCAGATCACTCAAGCGCACCAACAAGCTGCAAGCAGAAGCACTGGTCAAGAAACAACGCTTGCTGGAGGCCGCACGCTCAGCGTCAAGCTTGGAAATCGTGCGTGTGGGCAAGACTGAGAAGAGGTTGTCCGTCCCGAGCATATTTGCGGTTGGAATCCGGAGGAATTTATCCAACATCGCAAGCTCGGACTTTGGAGCGACCATCCTCCAAAACATATCTCACCAAAGAGTTTGCAGCGCAGAAGTGCGAACTGCGGCAGCAGCGTTGTGCAGGATGCGAGACGCATGCTTGTCAGTCGTGTCAGTCGTGCAAGCTTCTGGTGCTGACTTGGAGTCACAAGCACCTGAGCCTGATCAGCTCGGTGACACCGAATGGGACCTCAGCACCATATCCTTCCGGTGCGACGCCACAAACTCCTCCATTTGGCGTCCGGAGAAGCTACACGTGCTCGACGCAGACTTCGCCTGGATTTGCAGCCACAGTGCTGTCAAGCGGTTTGATGCTGCCGCTGCGATCCAAGGCGTCTCCTGTCTGTGTCGGCCTGAGCTTGAGACCTCGACGTGTGTTATGTCTGTGTACATCGTTCGGTGTAGTGACTCTGCACCGAACTATGTACACACACATGACACGTGTTGAGGTAGTGAGTGCCTAGTAGGTGAGTGGTGCACAGGCTGGCGAAGTTTTGTGGTTGCACATGTCGTCATGCAGGTCTGACACCCAAGTCGTGACGGGCAAAAGCGCAGAAGCGTGCCAGGGTCTCGTCAACAAACAGCTGGCGTCCGTGGGGATTCCTCTATGGCAGGATGTTGTTGCCAACCTCAGTTCCGAGCCACTTGTGTGCATGTGTCCGTGCTTTGTGCTTTCTGCAAGTCTTCGGCGCCGCGTTGGTGTTCTTTTCAGTGTATGTGGATTGAGTCTTTTTCTTTTTTGCGTCGGCCAGGCAACCCACCGTCTCAAAGTCACATGTCTTCATGTACATTGACGTCACTGATAAGGGGAGTGATCAAGTTTGCCGCAAACGCCGTACGGCGGAAGCGATCGAAGCGGCGGGCTGCCCGAACATCATCTACCTTCCTGGCGTATGCGATTTGCAGATGTTTCATGCTGCCGTGAAGAACGGACTCACGTTGGTTGATGAACTGGTGCCCAGCCTTTTCGACAAAACGCTGCTGAAAGGCTTCAGCAAGTACTTTGGCTCCCTCAGCAAAGTCGTCAACGTGTGGCGCGAACGCGCGGCGGACATCATGGCAGCATGGGATGCCGCTTGCGGAGACGACGACGTGGAGACTGCCAAGCTCGGCAAACGCGATCCACGATCCGTGGGAGCCGGAAGGTGGGGCAGCATCGAGTCAGCAGAAGACTTCCTCCTGCTACGTGGGCGCCAGAGAGTTGTCCAGGTTCTGATGTCAGTGCTCAGCAAGCACATGCGTGCGAGCACGCCAGGCAAAGGTATGCGGTGTGTTGGGGGGGGGGTTTCGCGGTCCACGGTTTCTTCCCTGGGGTGGTCGGCGGCGGCTGCTTAGGGTATATAAGAATAACTTTGGACAGGCTGCGACCCG